AAGATACAAAACAAATGGAAAAATCTTCCATGTTTGTGGATTGGAAGAACTAATACCATCAAACTTACAGATTTACTATGATCCAAATTACAACACCAACATTCTTCTCAGATTTAGAAAAAGGATATTAAAATAGACATGAGGGCCAGTGGAATAGAATAGAATCCCCACAAATCAATCCACACATCAACCACCAAATAACCTTGGACAAAGGAGCTGAAATCAATCCCTGGAGAAGGGACAGTCTCTTCAACATATGGGTGCTGGAAAAACTGGATCTCCACATGCCAAAGTACTTTAAACCTTATACCAAAATTAACTCAAAATGGATCAAGGATCTAAATATGCAAACTGATATCATCAAATTACTAGAGAACAACGGAGAAACTCTGCAAGACATCTTAGAAAAGAACTCAGAAGCACAGGCACTAGAAGCAAAAATAGATAAAGGGGATACATTAAGCTAAGAAGCTTCTGCATTGCAAAGGAAACACTAAACAAGGTGAAGAGGCAACCAACAGAATGGGAGAAAATATTTGCAAACTATGAAATTGACAAAGAATTAATATTCAGAATCTCTAAAAAAGCTTAAGAAATTCAGAAAACAAAATAAATAATCCAGTTAAGAAATGGTCTAAGGGCATGAACAGTCACTTTTCAAAGGATAAAATATATGCGGTCAATAGACACATGAAAAAAATGCTCAGGATCACTAGCCATCAGGGAAATGCAAATCAACCGCAATGAGGTTTCACCTCTCCCCAGTTAGAATGGCTCTCACACAGAAATTACAAAAATAGGGGCCAGCACTGTGGTGCAGCAGGTTAACGCCCTGGCCTGAAGCGCTGGCATCCCATATGGGTGCCAGTTTGAGATCCAGCTGCTCCACTTCGAGCCAGCTCTCTGCTATGGCCTGGGAAATCAGAAGATGGCCCAAGTTCTTGGGCCCCTGCACCCATCTGGGAGACTCTGAGGAAGCTCCTGGATCCTGGCTTCGGATTGGTGCAGCTCTGGCCGTTGCGGCCAACTGAGGAGTGAACCAGTGGATGGAAGACCTCTCTCTCTCTCTCTGTCTCGCCTCTCTCTGTGTAATTCTGACTTTCAAATAAATAAATAAATAAATCTTAAAAAGAAACCAAAATCCAAAGCATCTTTCATGCCTATTAAAAATAAACAAACAGGGGCTGGCGCCGTGGCTCACTTGGTTAATCTTCCACCTGTGGTGCCGGCATCCCCTATGGGTGCTGGGTTCTAGTCCCAGTTGCTCCTCTTCCAGTCCAGCTCTCTGCTGTGGCCTGGGAGTACAGTGGAGGAGGGCCCAGGTGCTTGGGCCCCTGCATCTGCATGGGAGACCAGGAGGAGGCACCTGGCTCCTGGCTTTGGATTGGCGCAGCATGCGGGCCATAGTGGCCATTTGGGGGGTTAACCAACAGAAGGAAGACCTTTCTCTCTGTCTCTCTCTCTCACTAACTCTGCCTGTCAAATAAAAAAAATAAAAATAAAAATAAACAAATAAACAAGCAAACAAATAAATGCTGAAGAGGATGTGGGGACAATGGTTGCCTAATCCACAGTAGGTGGGAATGTATACTAGAACAGCCACTGTGGAAGACAGTATGGAGATCCCTCAGAAATCTGAACATTGACCCACTCCTGGGAATTTACCCAAGGGAAATGAAATTAGCATATGAAAGAGCTATCTGGTCCCCCATGTTTACTCCAACTGAATTAAAAATAGCTAAAATATGGAATCAACCCAGTTGACCATTAACGAATAACTGGGTAAAGAAAATGTGTCATTAAATAAATTGAAAGCATGTCATTGTAAAAATTAAAAAAAGGAAGGAGATGAGAGGGTAAGAGCATGGGAGTGACGGTAGGGTGGGAAGTGGGAAGAATCACTATGCTCCTAAATCTATGTATTTATCTGAAACACCCAAAATTTGTTTAGTTTATATAAATAATAGTTATTTAAAGAAAAAAGGAACACACATACAAAATAGTCTTCTAGATACCCAAACTCTATAGTGACTGTTTAAAAGTTCCTCCCATATGCACATATATACCCTAAGTTATTTGGTTTACTAAAAGTATTTTCTAACATAGACACTAAGTTTCTCTTAACCTACTTCTGTTTTTCCTATTCCCATTAGTCAGTAAACACTCTAAGAACCATCCATTTTCTAATCATTGTTACACCTTGCTGACAACATCATGAAACTAACAGACTGTCCTAGTAGATAAAAGAATGGATAAATTTACTTGTAAATTTTAGGATTTTTGTTTGGTTTTGTATTCTTGTGTATTAGCTTTTTGGCTTTTTTTTTTTTTTGCATTTTTAGATGGCACTAAAACAGTTGTAATCCAGTGAAAACTGAGTTGAAACTTAAAAATATCTGTAATAACACAAAATGCTATTCGTAGGCTAACCATTTAAAAGGTGAAAAGTAACAAAAACATACTCTAAAATAAAAGGCTAAGAATGCAAAATAGTTATAAGTGAAATAACGGTCTTGGGAGTTGGTGTTATGGCACAGTGGGTTGTGCCATCACCTACAATGTTGGTGATTTTCTTTCTTTGTTTCTCCATCTCTGCCACTGCACTTCTCAAATAAAACAAAAGAAATCATTTTTAAAATGGTCTTAAAAGTGTTGGGCCTGTGCTGTGGTGTAGCAGGTAAGGCTGCTGCCTGCAGTGCCGGCATCCCATATGGACACCAGTTCGAGTCCCAGATGTTCCTCTTCCCATCCAGCTCTCTGCTATGGCCTGGGAAAACAGTGGAGGATAGCCCAAGTCCTTGGGCCCCTGCACCCATGTGGGAGACCTGGAAGAAGCTTCTGGCTCCTGGCTTCAGATCAGTGTAGCTCCGGCCTTTGCAGCCAATTGGGGAGCGAACCAGCAAATGGAAGACATCTCTCTCTCCCTCTCCTTCTCTCTTTGTGTAACTCTGAGTTCCAAATAAATAAAATAAATCTTTAAAAAAAAAAGTGTGTGTATGTGTAAGATTTACTTATTTATTTGAAATGCAGAATAACAGAGAGTAAGGGAGAGACAGAACAAGATCACCTGCTGGTTCAGTCCTCAGATGGCCACATAACCAGGGCTGTACTAGACTGAATCCAGGAGCCTGGAACTCCATCTGAATTTCCCATGTTGCTGGCAGCAGCCCAAGTAGTTGTGCCATTTTCCGCTGCTTTCACAGGTGCACTAGCAGGGAGCTGAATTGGAAGCAGAGCAGCTGGGACTCGAATCAATGCTCTGATGTGTGATGCCAGCATCACACGCAGTGGCTTAACAACTGTGCCACAACGCTGCTAGGCCAGTGCTTAAAGATTTTATAATAAAAATGTGCACCCTTGAAATACATAAAACCTGTACAACTTAAAGTGATATTCATAATTTTAGGGTCTATTATTTAACAACTCAACATGTATGATTGGGACAAGTTGGGAAAGTTATAAAAGTTTATCTTTTTTCTTCAAAGTAAAAAAAAATTTTTTTGGTTAGGAATGTGGCCTGAAAGCAGGCTACATTAAGGCTAGATGGCAATGATTTCTGGTGGGAGAAAAAAGATTATTTTTAAACTATCTTTGGTAAGCAAAAATGACCACACCATGTTCACATATTAGAAGGTTAAAAGAACAGGTTTCATTATACCTAAATAACAATTATTTAGAAATGGTAACAAAAAAAAATGGTAGCAGGAAATATATTGTGTTTTTTTGTGTGTCAGATTTGAGAGCAACTGATTTGCTACTGACTGCACTTGGCCCTCTCAGCCTCTTGAACCTCCTGAAATACTAATAGGTTCTACCTCCCAGGGTAAAAATAAAATATTGAACTTTATTTACATAGTATTAAAATTAGAGTTCCCATTAATGAATTATGTTTTACTTCAGTGGAATACAATAACCAAAATATGTTAAGTTTTTACGTCCACGTAACTGAAAATAAACACTTCCTACATATAAATCTGATGGTGATGGCCTGGTGTAGTTGGCAAGCATGTGGGTTCTAAGGTCAGACTGCCGGAGTACAAACCCAGACTGTGCTGCTGACTAGGTTTGTAACCCCAGAGAAAGCATTCCACTTCCTTAACCTCATTTCCGATGTCCACAAAATGAAAGTAAACACTATTATCTACTTTAGAGATAAGCCCTGAGAACTGAATGAGCACCTTGAACATTACAAACACCCAATAATATTCACAATTTCTATGGCCTCAAGTAGGAAGAGGTAGGTTACTATCTCAGGTACCTTATTCTCAGGTAACTTAATTCTTTCCTCTTAGGTACCTACACATTTCTCTGGCAGAAAGCTTACTTGGTAGGTAGAGGGAATGTAATGGAAAGAATTTTGTATTCCTCACATTCTTATTTTGAAGCCCTAGATGGTATTTGGATATAGCTTTGGGGAGATGCTTAGGTTTAGAACAGGTTGTAGGGGTCGATCAGGAATTCATTTGTAGGAAGCCACATTAGAGAGCTCACCCTGCCCCCACCTCTCTCCACCTTGGTGCAGAGGAGGCCATCCGAAGCCAGGGAGAGCCCTCTCCAGAGCTCGATGACTAGGGTGGCTCTATGGCCCTGGATTTTCAGCCTCCAGAATGTAAGAAAATAAGTGTCTGTTGTTTAAGACATCCCATCGATGATACTTTCTTATGGCAACCTGAGCTGACTAACGCAGGTGGTCTACATGTACTTTCAATGTTTATATGCATGAGGAAAAGCAATTCTACATTTTGTACTTTTGAAAGTTCATCGAACTCATGTAAATTCATGACCTGGGCAGATTTCAAAGACTGCAGGGTGTGTCAGAATAAGCCAGGGTCAGACAGACATTACACTCCTACCTACAACATGCTTTCTTTTTAAGAGCACAATATTGAGACTTTTACTTTTCAAAAAGCTGCTATAAACAGTTCCAGATAAGCTGCGATCAACCAGACATTACACTCATATCTGCAATATGCTGTAAGTCATAATGTAAGGATTCTTACCTTTTGTATCTGCCTGAAACTGTTCTAGATGGTTCCTGTAACATAAAAACAATGAAAAATCAGTTTGAAAGTATGTGTAAGCATGCAATTACTGATCATATAAATAAACAGCTGGCAGAGAATACCTAATTTGAAAGAATGAATTTAAAGCAACTGTAATTGTGTTATAAATACACATTACTGATAACACACACACACACACACACACACCACAAAACCAAGACTCTACATCTGATTTTGCATCCCAAATCAATTACTTTTTAAAAATAATTTTTAAAATTAGAAATGTTTTAAAACTCAGAAAACAGGGGGCAGAGCTGTGGTATAGCAGGTAAAGCCACCACCTGCAGTACCCGCATCCCACAGGGGCACTGGTTAAAGTCCTGGCTGCTCCACTTCCAATCCACCGCTCTGCTGTGGCCTGAGAAAGCAGTGGAAGATGGTCCAAGTCCTTGGGCCCCTGCATCCAACATGCGAGACCCAGAAGAAGATCCTGGCTCCTGGCTTTGGATTGGCACAGCTCCAGCCACTGCAGCCATTTGGGAACTGAACCAGCAGAAGGAAGACCTCTCTCTCTGCCTTCCAAATAAATAAATAAATCTTTTAAAAAAAAAAAACACTCAGAAAATGGACAAGGGGGTATTATTCATCAACTGATCAGCTTAAATCTTTCTGGAAAATCAACTGGCATTAAAACTCACAACCATTATAATCTTAACACAGCCACCTTTATCTTTTTATATTCACTTTAAAAAAAAAGATTATTTATTTATTTGAAAGAGTTACACAAAGGAAGACAGAAAGAAAGAGACAGAGACAGATCTTTCACCCACTGGTTCACTCCCAAAATGGCCACAATGGATGAGGTTGGGCCAGGATGAAGCCAAGAGACAGAAGCTTTTTCTGGGTCTTCCATCTGGGTGCAGGGACCCAAGCATTGGGCCATCTTTCACTGCTTTTCCAGTCACATTAGCAAGGAGTTGGATTGGAGGTGGAGCCGGATCTCAAACCAGCATCCACGTGGAAGGGCAGAGTGGAAGGTGGCGGCTTTACCTGCTATGCCACAGTGCCGGCCGCGTTTTTATACCCTTAATTTTAAAATAAGTTAAAGTTCATTACTTATATACATACAATGACTAATAACTTTTAAAGATCATAAATGCAGGTAAAAATAAAAAGCAAGGAAGTGTATTTTATTGTACTGGTTCTATGCAACAAAGGAAAAGTTAGGATGAAATTTAACATCAATCATTGGGGTAGAAAAATTATTACCACATAGCTAACCAGGCCATTATTTTGATGGCCCAAGCCCTCCCAATATTTTTGCAGTTTCACTTTAAAAAAACAGTATTAAACCAGATGAGTCTTTTTAAAAACTGTGCAATCATCTTTTTAAAAAAGCTAATTGTTGGGGTAGGTGTTGTAGCCCAGAGAGTTAAGCCACCACTTGGGATGCCAATACCCCCATACTAGAGGTTCCAGTCAAAACTGCTCAGCTGCTGAGCCAGTTTCCTGCTAATGCATCCTGGGAGGCAGCAGATGATGGCTCCAATGTTTGGGCCCCTGCCACAAATATAGGAGACCTGGCTGGATTTCCAGGTCCTGGTCACAGCCTGGTCCAATTCTGGCTATTGCAGGCAATTTGGGTGTGTATCATTAGAAGGTCTCTCTTTCTCTCTCTTCTCCCTTCTCTGTCATTCTGTAGTTCAAACAAATGAAGATAGATAAATAAACAATTTAAAAAGTTAATCATTAAGTCTCCAAGAGAAAATACTATAAATAAACAATTTCTGGGGGCCAATGTTATGGCATAGTGGGTAACGCTGCTGCCTGCGACTCCAGCATCCCATATGGATGCTGGTTCGTGTCCCGAGTGCTCCACTTTCAATCCAGCTCCCTGCTAAGATGCCTGGGAAAAGCAGTATAAAATGACCCCAATGTTTGGGGCTCGGCCATCCACATGAGACACCCAGAAGAAGTTCCTGGCTTTGGCCTAGCTCAGTCTTCTTGCGGCTACCTGGAGAGTGAATCAGTAGATGGAAGATCTCTCTCTCTCTCTCCCTCCCCCTCTTTTTCTCTTCACTCTCTCTAACTCTGCCTCCAAACAATAAATAAATCTTAAAAAAAATTTCTGGCCTGGTTAAAATAAACAATAAGCTCTCATTACAAAATGAGCAGTTCAATGGTAAAAGAATAAATGTTGCCTATGTGATACTGTAAAAGACATGGCAATATGAGGAAGCAGTACAGCAAACCAAATGGTTAAAAGGTATAATTATGTCATTCCATCCAGACAGGCCACTCGGTGGCTTTGAGACTGTGGGTTTATTTTCTATCACGCCTCTTCTCCTCACCTCTATAATGAAGTAACAACAATGCCTATTTTACTGCTTGATGTGGGAGTTAAATAACATAAGTAAACAAAACTAATACAATTTCTTTACAACAGGCTTAATATAAATTTGATGGCTCAAATTAAAAAAAAAGTTACAGAAAAATTCAAGTGGGATACAGAATTTTAACGAATCTGACTTTTTTTTCACTTTTTTTAAACTTTTATTTAATGAATATAAATTTCCAAAATACAGCTTATGGATTACAATGGCTTCCCCCCCCATAACTTCTCTCCCACCCGCAACCCTCCCACAAATCTGTCTTAATTATTCCAAATCAATAAATTTCTATTACAACAGCCTAAGTCACTTAGCTAAATATAACTATCTCAAATTTTCATGTCTGCGTCTTATTTTCTAAATAAAATACTGGCTTCTGGCAGACAGAGATGCCCCCCTGTTCTTGGGTTCCTTTCTTTCTCCCTAAAAACCCCAGCTCAACTAGCATACAATATACAAAATACATATTGACAACACATTTCGGGAAATAACTAATTTCCTTAGTAATCTCCAGTTACAGAAAAAAGCATCACTAGGGAAGTAAGCAGTTGCAGGCAGCCACAAGGTAACAGGAAACCAGAGTGTGCATGTGTGTGGGCTTGCGTCCCTAAGCAGGATTACCCCTGGGAAGCCAAGCCTTGACTGTTGATGCGAAGACAAGTTTCATCCCTTTCTGGGCTTCAGCTACTCTTACATCAGGGACAGTAACAAAGCCCTAGCAAGTAAACTTCAATAAGAGTTTCTTATCTTACTGTCATTAAAGGGGCACCCTGCAATGATGAGAGAGGAGATGGATCTTCTGTACTTTGTGTGCCAAACACGTAAAACAGACTTCCATTAATAAGAATATGGTATCTCTAGTAACAGCAAAGAAACATATTTCATAAAATCTAGTTTTACACTATTTTTGAAAGCTTAATAAAGTGTTTAATTAATGACTGTTTAGATAAAACAGAATACTAAGTTTACATGTATCCATTCAAAGTACATTTTATTGAATATGGATGAAAATAGTCTCACACAGAACCATTTCCCCTGGAGTTCTGCAAACAATACCATACCAATGTTTTATAAAGGTTTTGTCATCAAATTAAAACCAAGAAATATACCTCGGGGCTGGCGCTATGGCACAGCAGGTTAACGCCCTGGCCTGTAAGCGCCAGCACCCAATATGGGCGCCAGTTCAAGACCCGGCTGCTCCACTTCCTGTACAGCTCTCTGCTGTGACCTGGGAAAGCAGTAGAAGATAGCTCAAGTCCCTGGGCCACTGCACCCACATGGGAGACTGGAGGAAGCTCCTGGCTCCTGGCTCCTGGCTTCGGATCGGCAGAGCTCTGGCCGTTGTGGCAACTTGGGGAGTGAACCATCGGATGGAAGACCCCTCTCTCTCTCTTTCCTCTGTGTGTGTGTGTAACTCTGACTTTCAAGTAAAAATAAATAAATCTTTAAAAAAAATATCTCAAATGGTGTCTAAATATGCATGAGAAAAAATGCTAATAATACTAGAATCTGCAAAACAAACACTGTAAACATCACATTGCCCTCATTTTGATATACACAAATATTTCAGAACAAAATTAGCATGACTGCACAGACCTCTTACTGAAATTGAGTAAGCAGAATTGCTAAACCACAACAGCCCTAGAAATTTACTGATTTGTTGGTTACTGATGTATCAACCAAAATGATACGAATGTGGCAAAAAATACTATTTATCAGGCCTGAAATAAACATTTTCCAAAATATCTAATACTGAGATAACAAAGATGTAGAGAAGAAATTTTAACTAACACATAAATGTGAAATGGGGGGGGGGCATTTTACCAACACTGAACTAGAGTGGCATTATACTAATTTTATGTTTCCACACAAATGATTTTAAATGACTTAAGGTCAGCAGCACACACGTTTTCATACATTTTTACAATCTGTTAGTTTTTAAAAAGCAAACAGGCACTTAAAATACATAGGTTTTACACAGGATAGTCTACACAGCTTGTTGCAGTTGATAAAATCACAACTTTAAAATACCTGATCACAAATACACTTTTCCTTAATTATATTACTAAAGGGAAGGGAAAAGACCTGTGTAGAGCTGACAGAATGTTGGCACAGCACAAACTGTTTAATGTACATTTAAATAAAGCATTCTGCTTCATTTAAGCTTAGAATGGTCAACAAGGAAATCCCATAAACACTGCCTTTACAGGTGCAGTGGCAGATTAGAACTTGGATAAACAAATATAAAAACACATGTGAAATAAGATCTGACATATACAAGCCCAAAAGCATACGGCAAAAGAATATCAGTTATTAAATAAACTAATTAGCAAAAAAGTCACAGTGCTCAGTAAAATTATGGTGTAACATGTTCACACATCCTCAGGACTAACTTGAAATATTTATATTCATGTGTAATTTAGTAAGTTAAACAGCAGAAAGATGAGTGCAGAACAAAATTTCTGAGACCTATAATTGATATATTAAGAAGATGAAAAATAAAGAACTTTATCAATTAACATCAATTAACGAAGATTTTAAAAGGAGAAACTCATCTTTCCCATTACATTCCTTTATTGAAAAATTCAGTACTAAAGCTATTAGAAGGGGCACAGCCAGGTAGAAAGAAGCCTGGATCCATA